ATGTCTTCCAAAGTACGGTATGGTTAGGAACGGGCAGTATGTACGCTATGTAGATAGAAATGACCGAATAGGTCATGCACACACGGTCAAAAGCTGCACTATCATACTCAGGAATCGACGCTGGTATATGTTGTTTGGTAGGGTTTTTAAAAATGAGTTTTGGGCAAGGTAGACGACCCCAAGCTGTTTTGAAATGCTTTATTTTCCAATCAAAACTTGTGAATCTCCTTTCTGAGTAGGCAGGTAAAACCATGACATTACCTACATTTCTGAACGAAGTATACCATCATGGGCATGATCCATGTGGTCGTATCGCACCTGTTATGAGCGATAGTATTGCATAAGTTTTGTTGCAACATTAACCTCACTTAATTCTTTTCCGGCAATCAGATACCTGTTCAGTTAGTATGTACATTTATTGAGTGTCCTCTTAATCATAGCGGGCGCCATGACAGCCACTGCATTATGTCTCGACAATATCTGGCAAGTGCTTATCTTCATATGTGCTAGATTCAAGCTTTTAGTAGCTAGGTCAAACAAACAGACGGTAAAGAAATCAACCCATTTAAATGGTCAAGTACGCTCTTTTCGAGTTTATGTTTCATGCCTACATGTTTACAAGTACATTTGGTTGTTGTGTACAGAAATCATAAATATCAACTGGAACGATGATTCTACGAATAATGAGACCTGCCTGTTTGCGGCCGTAAGAAATGCTCTGCCCGGTGTGGTTGATACTGTAATTTCGCTAGGAGCTGATGTAAACCACAAAAATAGCGTTGGAGAGACTGCCTTGCACATTGCCACACAGGGTGGAAAGGTGAGAAAACTGAGGGATGCAGTCTGTGCAAATGTCGTCTGAGGTACACAGGAAATATAGTATACAATTTGTAATCTGGTTCATAATTCAAAAGAAGGACGCGAACTCCTCTCTGAGCTGTGTTTTGACGGTCAGGAGAAGCCGTGTTCTTTTCCTACCATTAGTACTGTACTTGTAAGTTAGATTCCATGTTTGGCACGCGTTTTCAACGAAATTGTACTAGCATTGACGCCACTTAAGTTGTGCTCAATCTATCCATGCGAGATACGGGATTTCCATTTTGACCGAGAACACGAGTGCACTGTACGTTCAAATATGGAAGCCTCTCCATCAAATGAATAGTACATATGGTTTAATAGGAACACATGCCCATCAATCCTCAACAATGCTTCAGCTGTACATATCTTGACAAGAGTAGCTCAAGCCCACCATATGAGCGATCGAGCGCTTGCCCATTGTGGTGTTTGTAAGTTCCATCCAGCGCAGCTAAACAAGTGTATACACATAAACGTACGAGCATAAATTCACACACAAATAGAAAAAAGATTCCGCACACAATTTCACATACATAAACAAATATTCTCATGCACATGCTAACTGCCGAGATTCTTGATACAGGCTGAAATAATTGAAAGGCTAGTTTCTGCGGGTGCGAGTGTGGAGCCGGGAGATACCTACGAGGGCAAGTCACCTCCACATTTGGCAGCCTCTAGCGGACACGTAGGTGCCGTGTTCGCAATACTAGGTATGGCATACTTTCATTTGGTAGAACACAAATACATGTGAATGTATCCTCTCGGGTATCAGTGTGATCTGGTTCTTTTGTTGCTTCTGTGTTACGAGCGTTTCAATCTACAAAATGCTCGGATCTAAATATGTAGCGCTTCAATTCGCCAATATATTGATTGTGTATTGCAACTGCTCGTTCTAGGTCACGGTGCAAATCCCAGCAAACCCGAGCGAATGCACGGCCGCACCCCCCTGCACGAAGTAGTGCGTAAGAGAAAGAAGCTCGTACCAGAGAAAGTCACTCGTGGCATGCCCAGTCGAACATCCTCTACTTCACAACTCGAGACCACAAGCGAAAATTTTGGAAGCAATTCTAGTATAAACAGCATCGCTTCGAGTATATCTGGTTGCCATGACGACGATGTGTGGGCGCAGTGTGCGCGTGCGTTGAAACAACATGGCGCTGACTTATATGCAAAGGATATCGAGGGCAAAACACCTTTGCACTATGCTAAGGAGGGTTTTGGCGAGGCTAAAAAAGCTGGGAGAAAGAAATTCTGGCATGATCTCCTGACAATATTGTGTCCCGCTAATGAAACGGAAGTTGGTAACAAGAAAGAGAGCAACTTCACAATAAATGAGAAGGATAGTGCGTACCTATCAACGAGCGTGGCTACTGCGAAGTAAAACGGGGAGGATTACAGAGCTACAAAAAGATATCAAGTTTATAACAGACGATTCGGAGAAAAGTAAGAAGGCGGCTGCAACATTGAGCTCGGCACTACGGCGGTATGAATTTTCGGACACACTTCGAGCATAATCCGATTTTTCTATAGCTATATCTAACCGAAACATTTATAATTCCACGCACCCAAGATTACCATCCTGAAAGGAAATTCTGCACATTGTTCCTAAAATTTGTTTGTCCATATCTGTACCTACCTTGACTCAGACGAAGAATGATGCACACAGATCTGAAGCACACGCCGTTGAACTCGAGACCGAACTATCTCGTTACAACATAGAATTGAAAGACATGAGTATCGCCTTGAATACTTCTCAAACGAATTCTCACCACATGGAGAAACAAATTGCAGCAACAAAAGCAGAAATTAAGATGCTGGTAGGTGCTTTGCTGAGATAGTCTGTATCATTGCTATTGGCTGTGAATGTGATTGACTTGAATTCGTCGACCTTTTTAGGAAACCGGGCCCTTTGTATACGTGCGTATCCAAATTTAATAGCCTATATTTCTTTTCCCAATGAAATTAGAATCTGATCTCGTTTTCCAGACGCAGGAAAACGCATCTACCGAGAAGAAGCTATATGTAGCACTGGGGCTAGTCACCGCGTTCGGTGTTCTGAAACTAATCGGGAAAATCTAGGATCATACCCCATCATGTCAAAATCCGTCTTGTTTTAAACAAGGCATGGTGCATCATGCGAATATGCGTGCGATGATATTGTCTTGCAGACACAAAATGTGTGCCACCATAGAAAACAAATAACAAAAAATGGCAGGTGTGCCAAGTTGAGAACAGGCAAGTTCACAATTTGTACCCTTTTTACCTCGTATGTAGTGACGTTAAAGCGCACCTCCGAATACACATACAAAAAGCTTACCACGAGTTCTACACAGAATTTAAATAAAAAACCACCCTCATCAGCTATTATAATATCTGAAAGTTACTGATGTAATATCGAGCATTGTCTAAGCCAAAATTTGAATCAATTGTTCTCGAGCCGCTTGTCGTCTTTGATAGCGCATCGATAGGTATTTTTTTGCCCTGCACAAGCTCTATCCGATAGTCACCATTCTTTGAAGTCCCACATGGCTCGGGTGATAATCACATAAATAGTATATTAACTATATTTATTTATTACAAGAATACAATTCACGCTTTAACATTTTGCTTTGAAGAATATAGTCCACGCTTTAAAAATTTGCTCACGCCTCATCTTTTAGAGTAGAGGGTGGATTTGTACAATACTTTTAGTTTAATATCAATCAGAACTCGCTGCTTTCAACCCTACACTTCGAAATTTAAGATATTCAATACAAACAAAGCGGGAACTGTCGGTTAGTTATGGATAGATTGGGCGTGCTGAAGTATATCATCGCAGAATACAAACTACCAGGTTTTACCAGTTAGTACAGTGTATGGTTGCGTCGCAACACATCACTAGAGCAAAACACAACATTTATCTCCCACATCAGGACCGATTACCAAGGATACAATTGCATGTACCCGTAGATTGAGAATTAAGGGAGTATAATTTTTTTGCTGACACCCAATTTTCACATGAAACTTCACTTGGATTGCGACGAACGGTCACTCAACTACATATTTTCAGTATTTATCTTGAAGTGGATGCATGATTCATACGATCCAAGGGTCAAGAACTGAAGAAACTCACGCTGAGCCGAATGAGCCATGCTAGCAGCAGTTTTTAAGGCGTGGTTCAACACCCTTCACCCGATTAAATGATACACAGTGAGGCACAAGGCCATTTCCAAAGGCTGATATATTTTGTGTTATACTCTGTTGGTATTTAAAAAAACATGTAGCCGTCCCATTTTGAACTCGCCCAGAAGCACTTTTGAAATCAGTGTCGGTTGCGAATGATTTCTTCACCGGCGTACAATGCGTCAAGCTTTTCAACGATACTTCGCTCTTCATGCGAAGACAATATATTTGTCACCTTTGCAATTGGTAAACTCTCTGCTGGTGAAGCCCTTTGTTTTCTATTTAAAGTTGAATGTATAGCGTGCCAGCCACGCTCCAAAGCATTCGTGATTGAAATTAAAAACATCTCTCGATCACAGACTAACTGCGCAGGTCCTGGTCAGCCGTTTGTCGGGGTAGGCCGGTAGGGCCCGTAGGGGGGCTTCCCAGAGTCCCATTACCATACTCCTAGCCATTCCACATGAACAGGAATAAGCAATTCTAATTATATTGAACGATGAAAATCAGGCGGGCTCCATAAAGCAACTGATTTGCTGGCCGATGGAGTATTTACTTCTACAATCTAAATACATACTCTCTTTCTCTCCAGTATTTAGAGATAGTCTTCAACCATAAATATTTATGATAATTTGTACATTTATATGCGAGTTAAAATATTTAAATGGCATGTTGGCATCCGGACACGCCACTAGAATATACATCCGCTCCACAAAACACTGTGACAGTGTGACAATTATGTTCAAGAAATTCACTAGAAGGAAAGTTCGTGATGAAGTCAGCAATCATAAAATCACAATAGTGATTCCACTATACATATACCCAAGCATACAAGAAGGATCTGAATGGCACAGACTTGCACAAAGCTCATCAAAAGTGGACATAGTAGCAATAATAAACCCAAACTCGGGCCCCGGTGATGCTCTCAATTCTGGTAAGTTTTCATTATCGCTATGTGTAAGCATTTACACTAGCATATACGTCACTACACTTCTAAACTTTCACAAGCAAGACCACGTCCGTGGTAGCTGACCACACAATCCAGCCGATTAGAGCTTAACCTTTGATCCAAATAGCTTGCATAAATTTATACAATCGAGGAATGGGTTTATATGTTCCAAATTCTAAAGGTAAAATGGCTATCAACATTATATTACTATTCGCCATATTGTAATCGCAACTTTGCGTCCAGTCGCCACTTTGCACGAAATACCGTTGGATCCATGTCTGTACATCACCTGGCATCTCTGTTTAAAACATTGCCATTAAGAACAAAATCGAATCGTCAATTTAGTTGTGCATTATGAGCTTTACTGCGTATTTGATAGTACATGTCATGAGATTGTTGAAAGATCATACTTTGCAATATGTATATCATATATTTGGAAATAGATGTTTTCATATGTACTTTATGGTAGAAATATCGACAGAACAGATAAATTGAAAGTTATAAACAAAGCTATTCATGTATGTGTGGTCTTATGATTGTACAGACGACCGTGTCTAAAATTGAAGATGCGTATATTTGCCACTACTATGATTCGAATTCTCTTGAAATCTTGCTTTAATAGTTTATTGAGGGTACGTGTATATCTATGGCATTTAATAGTTTGCACGTATTTCTCGTATTATCAACGGTTATCTATTCATATCGCCGAGACTGATGTTTATGCCGTTCATGGCATCACATCGCATGGCATGGCATTGCTTACATAGTCGCTATATATTTATATATATAAATATAT